TCTTCTTTGAGTATCTAAGAGTTTGGGCCAATCAGTTGTCACCAAAACACCCAATCTTTTCTCCTGTTTTTTTTTATGAAACATGACCTGAAATAAAAACTTTGCTCATACTGATGATGGGGAAAAAAAAGAAATCCACACTGAAGAGTTGCAGACATGTTTTCAGTGATGAAAACCCTGTTCACAAAAGTGCATTATGTCAAGCAGGGTGTACTTTAAGAGATGTATTTTAAGTTGCAAAATCTGAGAAAATGTTTTTTTTATAAAATAATTAAAGAAAAAAAAAAAGATTTTTTTGTTTAATTTCATAATCTTAGCATCACTTTCCCTTTCTATTCATAAACGCATGCATACATACAAGGTGTGATGGTTAAATTGTCATTTAAATTATGCAAAAATGGAAATAACACTGACATGACATTTTAACAGATAAATTACACAAAAATATCTTGAAATACTAAAAGAGTAAATATATTCAATAAAATCACCATTCACTTCAATCACGGCCTCCAGATGACTTCAGAATCTCCTGCACCTTTTCTGGATGGTCTCCTTGTTTAAGTTTTGGTGACTGCTGCAATAATCCTTGGCTTCAGTTCATCTTTGGTGTTACAAGGAGTTTTGTTGGTCTCTTGCTTAACTGTGCTCCGCACATAATAATCAAGGGGGTTGCAGTCTGGGGAGTAAGGTGGCCAGATGTAAGGGGTGATGTGGTTGCAGAAATTGTCTGACAGCTATGACCGAGTTCTCCTGCTTGTGTGGCATGCTGCAGAGTCATGTTGCCAGACATAGGGCCTTCTAGCAGCAACCCTCTTGACCCAGGTCAGCACTACCTCCTCAAGACACTTGATATAGGCCTCCATGTTGAATCCGAGGCCCTCACCAACAAATTAAGCAATTCTTTTTTTAATACAATGATCAGAGTGAGTTTTCCAAGCTGCTGTACAATTGTAATCACCATTAGAGTTATCCAACTCTTTTTGAATTCTCTGCACTGTCCTCAGATTGAAACCCAAACACTCTGAAATATTTGTTCATATTAAAACTTCTGGTTTGAATGCCAAGAAGTACACCATGCCGTTTCCAAATTTCTGGTGGAGTGGATTGTGTCATGGGGGGCTTTTTCTCACTGATGGTGCCCAACTGATCGTACTAAACTGGGCAGTTGACAAAAACAAACAATGCACATGCATGAAATTAAAAATATAAAATGGTGACAATTTACCCCTTGCACTGTACTTCCCTCTTTCTTTATAGACACACACACAAATACACTCTGTATTTGATACAATATAAGACCCCCCCACTCACACCTCCACATTTATACCTTAAAAATAGCTAAAATATTCTGCCTGGTTTCATATGTTAATGCTTCTGGTTATTAGTGCAGAAAGTAGAATTAGCATGCTGAGTTCAAATTCTGACCAAATCTATTTCTTTTACATGAGAAAAAGCATGAATCCATCTCTCTTTTTTTCTCTCTCTAGATCAGTAGTTCCCAAACATTTTTGTGTCACCACCCAGTCCACCACTAACCTGTACAGTAAATATTCAAAAGCATACCAAAATCTTTTGGTAAAAGTTTGTTACTGGTTTGCAAACTGACTTTATGATGTGAAAAATATTAAAGGGAGGTAACAAATAATGCTGATTTATGCAGTGACAGCTTCTACTACTACTGTATTAAAGAACAAACAAAATCAAACTTGACCCTAGAAAACTGTATATACAATTTGATGTTAGTTTTATGGCTAGTGTTGACAAAAAATAAACAATTTTGGTTCATAATTATAAAATTAAAAAGAATATACATGCAACTAATAAAACTTCAAAAAATATTTTTTTGGTCTTCTGTTATATGATTTATATCTGAAAAAGTGTTATTTCATCTGAAGAACAATTTGAATGTTAATGACCCTTCTAAAAATCATAGAAAACAATGAAATATTGCTTTTTTGTGGGGATATTTATATCTTATCTCGGAATGTGACCCATTTATTATCATTTTGCCTTCTTTTTTTTTATAAATGTTCTTTGTATATTTCCCTTAAATATTTTTTTTTCGGGTAGCATATATTGAAATGTGTTTTTAATACTCAAAGTCCTATATTGCCCACCATTTTCTGTTCAGTTGGTCATCATCTGCCCAACAGTTGAAATTACCCACATTGGGAAACCCTGCCCCAGACATAGGTTAAGGTAGCAAAGTTGGCATTGGATGATAATCAATCTAGGGAGAAAACAACTCTGTGTTAAAAAATTTAGAGAATATAATAGAGAAACCTTTCTACAATATTTCCCAAGAAATCCTGGCAATTCTTATATAATAAAGTAAAAGAAATCTGTGGCAAGACATTATTACCTACATCCTGATGGGACATGATGTTTAAAAGAGAAAAAAATACCCAGATGCAATATGCATCAAGTAGTTACATGTCACTTAGGTCCATAATACTGTAATATTAAATTTAAATAATGGTGTAGAATGTCATATGACATAGACTACATCAAGACTAGTTAAAATTATATATTCAAGAATCAAAAGTAAACATAAGTTTAATTGACAAAATGGAGTGTTTTTGAGTAAAAGAGAAAGAAAGAAAGATAGAAAGAAAAAGAATGAAAGAGAAAATGTTGAGAGAGTTGAGGGATAAACTCAAAGACATGAATAAAAAGTATTTGTTAAATTTTAAGGCACAATATATAAGACAGATGTTAATGTGATCAATCTGTTGCAGAGGATTTTTAAAAAAATATTTATTATTTTATTATGTAGAAAAAAAGAGTTTCCTTTATTCTGATTCAAAAAATGTCAGCCCAAAGCTTTAAGAATCTGAAATGATAAATTTTATTATTAGGTCTAGAGAAAAATTATAATCTTCACTGGTTAACCTCCCTTGGCAGCTGTTGGCCAACACTTGACAGAAGAAAGAACGTTAAAAAAAAAAAAAAATGATTTAATGCTATAGCTTACTTTTCTTTTCTTCATTTTATCAATCCCAACTTTGTATTTCATTTTACTTTCTCTTATTTTCTTTTATCTTTTAAATATTTATTTCTTCTGTCCAATCCTTTTTTTAATCCCTTCCTTCATTCCCCCCCCCTTCTTCTTTTCATCATTTATTGTTATGATAACACAAGGCATATTTGTTTGTTGGCATTAACTAATGCCTCTCTTTTTTTAAATCGAGATTACCCCAAGCAAGGCAGTAAAGCCAGTAAGACATAAGGGGTAACTGGGTGTGGAAGAATTTAAAAACAGAAACATTACCAAAGAGAACTGTAAAAGAGTAATCAGGATGACAGTAGATAATGATTGACATTGCATTTAAATTTTTGAAGATTAAAATTGACTAGAAAATATGGAGCCAGAAGAGTTCCACAAGTTAGAAGTGCAAGAAAAGAAAATGTTAGCATAGAACTTATGGTTATATCTAACCAACTCAACTATAAATTGACAAGACCTTGTTCACCAATCTAGTACTGTGCTTAAATTCCTAAAGTCTAAATGCCATAATGATGAGCTCATCCAAACAATTATGTCAAGGATCTGAAATATATAGCAAGAGCACTGGACCATACGTGGCAGCAATATTTTAAGTATGGATGAATGGTAGACTTATAGATATGTAAGATGGATTCTGGAGAAAAAAAATATCTAGCACAACACAGTGAACCAACATTCTTAGCAGCTGACCTAACAATGGATTCAAGATAGTATTTTCATTTCCAAGAATTTTAGCTCGAGAAGGCATAATGAGTCACTCTCATGGAGGTTAGTATCAGCCATACTGATGGAAGGCACAAAGAGGACTAAAATATCTCATAAGTCATAATAACATGTTGTATGATAGATAAATATATGAAGTTACGATGTGTTATATATATCTCATACAATTGGAATTAACATACCATTAGTTAATGATCCTTTTCACCCATAAATTTTAAATTTAAAATTTGCAGGATTTTTCAAACTGTTTATGGTGTCAGTTTGTAGAAGGGTCACCTTTTGAAAAAGCCTGCAAATTTCAAAATTTGTGGGTGAAAATGATCATTAACTAATGGTATCTTAATTCCAATTGTACAAAAGATTTTGCTGTTTAATGAAAATAAACATTGAGTGCTCTTTGTGAATCAGTTTTAACATTTAATATTTAAAATTCTATATAGTGTTAATAGGATTACTATATATATATATATATATATATAATATTTATGCTCTGTAGATTTGCATTGAGCACTTTTTAAAAAAAATAAAAATAATTAAGAACACCGGATTATAAATCTGACTGTCTTTCTCTTTATATATATATATATATATATATATATATATATATATATATCATTATATGCTTACTTATCTAGTCTCTACTCATTTTTGTGGAGATTATATCCACTCATCATGTGACTTAATTGTAAAATTTACAACTTTACAATCAAGTCTCTTGATGAATAGATGTAATCTCCTAGTAGGAAAAATAAATGAACATTTTATTTTTTACTATTAATGCTCTCTCTTGATACTGAGCACTATGATTATAAATACTGCTTGCTTTAAAAAAAAATGTTATCTCCCAGAAATACTCTGACTGGCTGTTTTATTTTGGTACATCACAATTTTTGTTTTATAGCATTGTTAAATTTTGTCTGGATATTATTTTTTGCATAGGATGATGAGAAAATTCAAAATTTGACCTCACAAATAGTGATGATAAAATATTCAAAATCAGATGAAGACTTTTCCAGCTTCAAAAGAGTTCAAAATCGTTTATGTGGCCTTATTGGGGAATGAGTTATTTTCACTTCTGTCCCTTTCTCAATATTGCAAGCCTCTAACTACTTCATTATTACTTCCATGGTACACTTGGTCATTTACAACCAAAATCCACATAGCTACAGCCACAGTATTGACTCACCCTCATTCTTGATGTATTCCTTTTATTAGAAGGGCATTCTACTCAAAAACATTCACCCCAAGAACAGCTACTCGTAAACTTTTCATGTCTAGAGTGAACCATTATCTGCCATTTTCTCATTCATTTCATTTGTTGTGAAGGTTCTCTTAAAGTCTCCCTGTCTTTCTTGGTCTTGAAGTCTTGCTCTCTGTGCCTGTCTTGAAGTCTTGCTCTCTGTTCCTGTCTTGAAGTCTTGCTCTCTGTTCCTGTCTTGAAGTCTTGCTCTCTGTTCCTGTCTTGAAGTCTTGCTCTCTGTTCCTGTCTTTTTTGGTCTTGCGCTCTGTTCCTGTCTTTTTGGTCTTTGCTCTGTTCCTGTCTTTTTTGGTCTTGCTCTCTGTTCCTGTCTTTTTTGGTCTTGCTCTCTGTTCCTGTCCTTTTTTTGGTCTTGCGCTCTGTTCCTGTCTTTTTGGTCTTGCGCTCTGTTCCTGTCTTTTTTGGTCTTGCTCTCTGTTCCTGTCTTTTTTGGTCTTGCGCTCTGTTCCTGTCTTTTTTGGTCTTGCGCTCTGTTCCTGTCTTTTTTGGTCTTGCGCTCTGTTCCTGTCTTTTTTGGTCTTGAAGGCTCTGTTCCTGTCTTTTTTTTGGTCTTGCGCTCTGTTCCTGTCTTTTTTTTTTGGTCTTGCGCTCTGTTCCTGTCTTTTTTGGTCTTGCGCTCTGTTCCTGTCTTTTTTGGTCTTGCGCTCTGTTCCTGTCTTTTTTGGTCTCGAAGTCACTCTTTCTCTCTGTCTTTTTTGGTCTCGAAGGCACTCTTTCTCTGTGTCGTTTTTTCTTTGGTCTCGAAGTCACTCTTTCTCTGTGTCATCTCAAAGTCTCTCTCTCTCTTGGTCTCGAAGTCTCTCTCTCTCTCTCTTGGTCTCGAAGTCTCTCTCTCTCTCTCTTGGTCTCGAAGTCTCTCTCTCTCTCTCTTGGTCTCGAAGTCTCTCTCTCTCTCTTGGTCTCGAAGTCTCTCTCTCTCTCTTGGTCTCAAGTCTCTCTCTCTCTCTCTTGGTCTCGAAGTCTCTCTCTCTCTCTTGGTCTCAAGTCTCTCTCTCTTGGTCTCGAAGTCTCTCTCTCTCTCTCTTGGTCTCTCTCTCTCTCTTGGTCTCAAGTCTCTCTCTCTCTTGGTCTCGAAGTCTCTCTCTCTCTCTCTTGGTCTCGAAGTCTCTCTCTCTCTCTCTCTCTTGGTCTCGAAGTCTCTCTCTCTCTCTTGGTCTTGGTCAATCTCTCTCTCTCTCTCTTGGTCTCTCTCTCTTCTCTCTCTTGGTCTCTCTCTTTCTCTCTCTCTCTCTTGGTCTCGAAGTCTCTCTTTCTCTCTCTCTCTCTTGGTCTCGAAGTCTCTCTCTCTCTCTTGGTCTCGAAGTCTCTCTCTCTCTCTTTTATTCTCGAAGTATCTCTCTCTCTCTCTTTTATTCTCGAAGTCTCTCTCTCTCTCTCTCTTTTATTCTCGAAGTCTCTCTCTCTCTCTCTTTTATTCTCGAAGTCTCTCTCTCTCTTTTATTCTCGAAGTCTCTCTCTCTCTTTTATTCTCGAAGTCTCTCTCTCTCTTTTATTCTCGAAGTCTCTCTCTCTCTTTTATTCTCGAAGTCTCTCTCTTTTTTATTCGAAGTCTCTCTCTCTTTTATTCTCGAAGTCTCTCTCTCTTTTATTCTCGAAGTCTCTCTCTCTCTTTTATTGAAAAAGTCTCTCTCTCTTTTATTTCGAAGTCTCTCTCTCTCTTTTTATTCTCGAAGTCTCTCTCTCTCTTTTATTCTCGAAGTCTCTCTCTCTCTTTTATTCTCGAAGTCTCTCTCTCTCTTTTATTCTCGAAGTCTCTCTCTCTCTGTCTTTTTATATCAGCTTAATTTTTGCCTTGTCAATATGGATATATTTCCTACTGACAATCATTTTCTTTTACACTTGGAAATATATTGGCATGAAGTTTGTCTTTTCATTAACTTTCATTATTAAACAAATATTTTTCTCTTTATTACTATGGGTACTTGGAAATTTAGTGGAATTTTAGATGCCTAAATATATAAGCACACCTAAGTTTAATGTGACCTTGACATCATATATCCTCCTGATGTCAAAGGAAGGAAAGGTCAACATGAAGCCAAGTAATTGAGCTCTGATACAATTAGGGAATGTGCTAAAATAGTGGAATTCTGACAATGGTGGTTCTCCTAAAGGTTTTCTTTAAAAGCAGGAACTTGAAATCATGTTGATTTCAAGATAGAAAAACAGAACAGAAAAATATTTCCACATTTTAACTCTTTTTATTTCTTTGACATTTTAGAAATAACCGGATATAAGGTGCTTTGGTTATCCAAAGCACCTTTGGCCTCCCAAGAAGAAACAGGACTGTTCCTGTTTCTTCTTGGGGAGCTGGAAGTTGTTAATGGATGCACTGAACATTAACAGTTTCCCCATTGGCCTGAAAGTTCAGTATGGGGCTGGGGAGATCTCTCCTGCCTTTAGGGTTTCCAGGAAAGAAGGCTGCAACTTAGGGTCCATGCTTAAGAAATAAGATGTTTTGAAAGAGATTGGTAATGTTATATAGAATGCAAGAATGAATGTCATGAAGGTGTAAATATTGAAAAGCATACAGGTGAGTCAGAAAAATGTGATTGGTTGATTTTGTTTAGCGGCATATCAATCTCTACAGGTTGCTTAATACCTTAATCTAAATATCATATATGCAATTTTATTTTGTTTAGATAATAATGGTTTTAATGATAAAAGTGTTACTAATTAACCCATAGCTGTGGAGAAGAGAGGGATTCATATCTTTTCTAGGTATTTGTGCATAAGTGAATATAGTGAACAAAACTGGAATTGGAACTCAGCTCTCTGATTAAATCTTCCCAGCCATTAACCATTACACCACCTGCACATCCAAGCTTACAGCACCTGGTATTCCCAAGCATCCACCCATCTAGTTACTGACCAGACTTAACATTGCTTAAATATAGAGACCTTTGTAGCAATAAGCCAGAAAAATATGATTACAGCTAATGAATATTTGATTAGCAATATATGAAAATATTTTTCTTAATACATTTGGTATATACATATATATATATATATATATATATATATATATATATATATCAGTTGTAGCCTCTGTCTGTCTGTTATTGAATCCTCCTAGGGTTTTGGAGATAGATCCCCCATAAACATATTTATTCTGAAACTACATTATCCAGTGTACATGGATAAGTATATTTCATTTTGGTAAATGTTTCTTCCTTTGATCTAATTTAAATTTGAATGAGGGAATGACTTGTATCCAAAATATAGGAGAAAGAAGCCAAAAGATGGACGTCACATTGGCAAGGTCAAAATAAGACAATATGGGCATCAAGATGTGCAAAAAATAATCAATTAGTGGAAGGTGCCTTACAATACATATTTGTTGTGACAATTCAACTTTCATGTCAATGTTGAAATCTGCTCATCAATTTATTCAATCAAGTATTGCAGCAAATACATCTCAAAGAGGTAAGATCAAGCTGTTTTTGCACAAACACCATACTGAAATTTTTTTCCCCTTTGATTTAAATTTAAATAAGTGAATGACCCCTATCCAAAATATGAGGAGAAAGCCAAAAGATGGAGGTCACATCAGCAAAATCATTGAAAATATTGAAATGCATAATTTCTCTCCACAACTTATAGCAAAGTTTTAAAATCGATCATTTTCTTACAAAAAAAAAGTGTGACATGCCGCAAAGTGTGGGTAATTCAGCTAGTATAAATTTCATAAGATAAATAGGAGTTACTTCCCCTACTTCATTTATATAATATTACTCTGTTAAAAGAACATTTATTTATATTATTTAATCTAATAACAATGTTAATTTATTTAAAGACGAAAACAGAACTAATAAGAAGCTAGATGAAGTTTGCTCAACATATTAGACACCAGCAAATTCAAATTAAGTATCCCTATATTTCAAGTGTTCCTCTCGATGTTTAATTATAACTAACATTTGTTTTTATTTCCTTTCATCACAGAAACGGTACATGATCTCATCAAAAAAACATCATTTAATCTGAAGAAGTCCTTTTGAAGGACGAAATGAATCACATCCATTTTGTCTCTCAAATGCTTTTTTGTTTATTTTTTTAAATCATTTCACTCAAGCATGGCAATAAAGCCACTAAGATGCAGGGGGTTACTGAAAGTGAAAGAAACTGAGAAGACATTACTGAGTAGAAAGGACAATAAAAGAACAGGTTTAGATTAAACAAGAGATGATGATTGTCCTTGCATTTAAATTTTTGAAGATATTAGTTAATGGTAAAGCAAAGAACTAGAAGAGAGTTCAACATGCAAAAATCACAAGGGAAGAGACTATTAAAATAGAAATTAGTTACATTTAGCAATTTCAGCAGTAAAATCATGAGACTTGGCTACCAATCTATTATTATATTTAAATTCATGAAGTCAAAGTTCCAAAGGAAAAGCTCATCAAAACAATTACCATGAAAATATTTATAGAAAAGCCATATTATGACAGTGGAAAAATGATTGAAGCAGATATGTTAGATCAGAACCGATAACATTCTTTTGAGATAGTGTCAAGAATTTCTAGATACATAGCAGAATCACCAGACCAGATTTGGCAATGATATTCAATTCATAAACAGATGATAGACTTATGAATGTACCAGAAAAATTGTCTAGCACCACATACTGAACTTTTGCCGTTTATGTTAGTGTAAAACATTAAACTGAAAAAGTGCAAAAACTTATTCTCCTGGAGGTAATTTAGTTTTGTATGTGTTAAAATTAACAAGCCATTTTTTCCCATTTAACAACAGATCATTTTCGTTATCAGATCCCAATTTGACTTTATCAAACCCATCACACTTACCATTAAGCCAAAATTAAATAGTTATTGAGTTGAGAATTGATTGTATCAAGAAGGTTAGGTATAAATATTTGATTTTTACTACTACTGTGTAAGTAAATAATTAACTAAATCACAACTTCTTTGATTATAACATATTAATTATAATCAACTACATTATCTTATTTCTTATTAAAAAGATGTGGCTTTGATGGAGCTACTTGTCATGAAGGACAACTCTATAATTCAAACCTTTTACCAATATACCATGGACTAATATGGAAGGGCTATTGATCTCTATCTCTGATAAACGTTGGGTAAAGCCTGTATCTTCTTTTATATATTGTGTCCTTTCTGGAGATTATAACTCTTTACAATTTCTTTTGGCTCTAAGAAACTTTTGATTCTGTACTATTCCTCTGCCACTCGTTAACAAAAACTTGTTTTACCTCCATGCATCCTTCCTTCAATAGATCCTGTATGTGCTGCACCAGATGACTGATATATAAGGTTAGAAGGGATTCTTTAAAAGTAACGACTACTTTTTATTTCCATGGAAACTATAGGGTACAGCAAAAATATCTCCCATGTAACAGTAAGAAGTTTGTGGCAGTGGTGTTTTCACATAGCTAATGTCTCACTATTAGGTGAAAGGAATTTCTGGGAAATATTTCTGCTGCACCCTGTATAACAGATACAGGTAGCACTATTTGTTGTCATCGGTTTTGGCAGCAGCAGCTTTTTCATATCCAAGAATTTAATTTTTTTTTTGCTGATTGCTTCCTTTAAGATGATGGCATTGATGACTAAATTCACTGCCAATGTGCAGGTTCAGGACTAGAAGCTTCTAGCTTCACCAAAACTTATTCCTATCATCCATTCCCTATCACTGTTTGGCCTTGCAAGAGTTGGTTGGAGGTGAAAGAAAATCAGAGTAGAAGAAAGTTCCAAATATGTGAATTTGTTTAAGGTGGGCTTAATTTTCCAGGAAGTGACCCACACACTTGATTTCATCACCTTCCTCTGGGGTACATATGGAATGAGATGCAGAATCCAGTTATGAAACTGCAGTGGACTGCTGCTGATGTGGTTATAATTTTGAGGGGCACCTTCTGTTGCATGTCCATCATGCATAGCCCTCTTCATCAGCTGGTTCAATCGTTAAGATCTGTCATCATCATCCACCACTTTTTCCACCATTGGGATCTTTGGGATTGTCGTGCTTAGTCTCGGTCCTTGTCTTTGACCTTGCTGCCAAGAGTGGCACTACCAAGAGTTTAGAACTCCTGATGGCATAGGAAGCACTATAATACTGTTGGAAGAAATCAAGCTTTTGACTAAAATAGACTATTTTTGCATTTTTAAGGTGCATTTCATTTAAGATCAGCAGCTGTGTATTAGTCACACAATCATCACTATTTCTGATTCTGAAGGCATTACCCACTACCTAACTGTGCTCATATCCACTGATTGGTCTCCCTGAATGTTCAGCAAGCAGTGATGAAAGTCACTGGATGCAGTTTTTTCTGCTTGATGGAATTCAGTGATATATGTCTTTGTATCTATTTTTATATCAGATACTGTTTTGCCAAAAAACAAACATATGTCAATACATGGCTAAGTAAATTAAAGAATTGGTTAAAAATATCTGGTTGGTTCCATGGCAGTTGTGAGTTCAATCCTTGAGTCCGTTAGTGCTAAACTCATATATTCTGTGTCAGTGGAAGAAACAAACAAGCAGTACAAAGAGAAATAAAACTTGAAATATATGAAATGTCCTCTCAGCATGAAAAGTGGAATGAGAACAATCAACCTGTTGCTTGAATAAAGGGTTAAGTTCAAATTTCCAAGAAAGATACTGAAAACAAACAAATCTGAAAGAGGCTAGAATGTTTAATTTTTCTTTTATGCTTATATCACTTCAGGACGTAGGCAATTATGGCTTCACAGGTTTCTGTCACTTGTAGCCCTATGCAAAATTTGACTCTTTATCATCCTTCTTTCTC